GATAACAGTGTGATCATGCATATGACTCACCTTCTCCAATATTTTGTCCGAGTATACCATGCTCGTATTATCACGAGCCGCCACTGAATTTTACCCTCTTCTATATAATATCCTACTTTCAAATACGGACAAAGTTTCACAGCTTCGTGTGCCATTAGGCTGTGCTAAAATAGTTAATTTATAGAAAAAAAAGTAATTTTATCTGCATTATTATCACTATCTTACCATAATAATTAATGTTAATGACAGCTATGTTGCACTAGGTAAAAAGTTTTCAACAAAATTATTGTGAAAACATTAACAGATAATAAATAACTACCAAAGCATAATTATACTACTAAAGAATAACCGACACTGGTCATTTTGTCATTAATAAATGATTTTCTATACCCATAATAATAACTATTAAACACATTAATACAGAAATTGTGTTGCGACAAACAGTAAAATTTTAATAAAAAAAGTGAAAGTGTTATAGTGGCCAAAATGTCTAAAGAAGAAGAGAAGCAAAATTTAGATGCTGTATTTGAAGAAGTCGGTGGTTTTGGACATTATCAAATTTATACTTTTACTATGTATACCTTGGCAGTCTTTTTGGAGACTGCTATGCACAACGTTTTCATTTTTGAATATTTAAATGGAAATTACAGGTAAGTAAAAGTTTAATATAATGTTATAGGACTTAGTATATGAAAATATAAACGTGTGATCAAAAAAAAAAGTTCTTAGGAAGTCCATTAGGTATTGATTATAAAGACTAGTCTTTATAGTATTGATAAATATATTTACGAATCATGTTTATGATATATATACGTCATTTAATATATTTAATTGATGTTTCTGAGTTTGCGCAATGAGCATCTGTCAGGTATGTCAAAAGGCTCCATTAGTGTGACGTGTAAAGCCTCTAAAAATATGAAACCCCACAGTGCTTTGAAAATTATCGTTTAAAATAATAAAGCTTTTTTGTCATTATTGTCAGAATACAGTATTAAAGTTGACACCACTGACACTATGTACGTGTATTAAAACTGTCATTTAACAAAGAATTGTAAACTCGTACTTGCGTGATTTTTTCAAAGGACTATTTTTAAAAATATATGTTTTGATCATTGTAACCGACTTCCTGTAAATATCCCTAACCTAATTTGTCGAAAACTTCCACTGTTCTCAAGAAAATATGTAAATTCTTTATCAGAACACAAGAAAAGGTTGTCTTGTAATTCATTATCGTTCCTTGAAAAAAATTCTGTGTCAAGGTACACGAAGAAGACCCGCTTTATCTCCTCCAAAAACCGAGTCAGTTAAAAGCACTTCAATAATCTTACCTATATCACCTACAATAACATATTTAATTTGTTGACAACTCGCGCCATTAAACTGCCCAATAAATAAATAAATTGAGGTCGAACAAACGGTCCCAACTTAGTGTTTCGCGAGCCACCGGGTTTGGCACATCCAGAACAATTCGATTGTTTCAGTTATTTCGAATAATAATTATGTCATCGGAATCGAAAAGTTTTCATTCGCTGGATGATATCCTAAAGCAAATCGGAGATTTTAAAACGTATCAAATCCTTAATTTTTCATTGGTGTGTTTCGCTGTCGTGATACATTCGGCCGTACATAATGCATTCGTTTTTACAGCTTTAAACAGCAACTACAGGTTAGTTATATTATACAGAGTGATTAGGGGTTATTAGGGGTGATTAGGTCAACGTCAAAATAACTTTGGCAGTCTGGCATTATAAAATCACTGATAGAAACCAACTATAAATTAGGAGTATCTATTAAAAAATTATATAAATATTGTTGTATCTAGAAATTATGTCGTTATTACTTTCAAAAATATTTAAAAACGATTTTAAATCTATTTTAAGACGATTTTCTAGATGACTTTGTCCGTCTGACATTTACAATTGCTTTAAAAATTATTCCAAAAAAATGTCAACGTCAAAATAACTTTGGTAGTCTGGCAACAACTATAAATTAGGAGAATCTGTTAAAAAATTATGTAAATATTGTTCTATCTAGAAATTATGTCGTTATTAATATCAAAAATATTTAAAAACGATTTTAAAACTATTTTAAGACGATTTTCTAGATGACTTTGTTCGTCAGACATTTTACAATTGCTTTAAAAATTATTCCAAAAAATGTCAACGTCAAAATAACTTTGGCAGTCTGGCATATAAAATCACTAATAGAAAACAACTATAAATTAGGAGAATCTATTAAAAAATTATGTAAATATTGTTCTATCTAGAAATTATGTCGTCATTACTTTCAAAAATATTTAAAAACGATTTTAAAACTATCTTAAGACGATTTTCTAGATAACTGTCCGTCAGACATTTTACAATTGCTTTAAAAATTATTCCAAAAAATGTCAACGTCAAAATAACTTTGGCAGCCTAGCATTATAAAATCACTAATAGAAATCAACTATAAATTAGGAGAATCTATTAAAAAATTATGTAAATATTGTTCTATCTAGAAATTATGTCGTTATTATTTTCAAAAATATTTAAAAACTATTTTAAGACGATTTTCTAGATGACTTTGTCAGTCTGATATTTTACAATTGCGTTGAAAATTATTCGAAAAAATGTCAACGTCAAAATAACTTTGGCAGTCTGGCATTATAAAATCACTAATAGAAAACAACTATAAATTAGAAGAATCTATTAAACAATTATGTAAATATAGTTGTATCTAGAAATTATGACGTTATTACTTTCAAAAATATTTAAAAACGATTTTAAAACTATTTTAAGACGATTTTCTAGATAACTGTCCGTCAGACATTTTACAATTGCTTTAAAAATTATTCCAAAAAATGTCAACGTCAAAATAACTTTGGCAGCCTAGCATTATAAAATCACTAATAGAAATCAACTATAAATTAGGAGAATCTATTAAAAAATTATGTAAATATTGTTCTATATAGAAATTATGTCGTTATTACTTTAAAAAATATTTAAAAACGATTTTAAAACTATTTTAAAATGATTTTCTAAATGACTTTGTCCGTCTGACAATTTACAATTGCTTTAAAAATTATTTCAAAAAATGTCAAAGTTAAAATAACTTTGACAGTCTGGCATTATAAAATCACTAATAGAAACCAACTATAAATTAGAAGAATCTATTAAACAATTATGTAAATATAGTTGTATCTAGAAATTATGACGTTATTACTTTCAAAAATATTTAAAAACGATTTTAAAACTATTTTAAAATGATTTTCTAGATGACTTTGTCCGTCTGACATTTTACAATTGCTTTAAAAATTATTCCAAAAAATGTCAACGTTAAAATAACTTTGGCAGTCTCTGGCATTATAAAATCACTAATAGAAACCAACTATAAATTAGGATTCTTTCTAGGAATTATGTCGTTATTACTTTCACAACTATTTTAAAGCGATTTTCTAGACGACTTTGTCCGTCTGACATTTTTCAATTGCTTTACGAATCAACCTCAAATTAACTAATTCTATTAAAAAAAAAATGTAAAAATAATTCTATGTATTATGTCGATTTCTCTTTTTTTTTTTTTAACCGAAACTGTCAAAGCAGGAAAGTAATATTTTTAGAACTTTTTTCTAGATGACTTTGTCAGTCTGATATTTTAAAACGACTTTTAGAATCAACTTTATTATCATTAATATCTATCAAAAAATTATGTAAAAATATGTCGTATATTTCTTTTTATTTTAAAACAGTAAAGAAAGTTGTCAAAGTTGAAACTAATATTTTTAGAACTTTTGCCTAGATGAGTTCATCATATTCTTAAATTCAACCTATTCTCAGATGTTTGTCATCAAATCCATCGACTCCATATTGTGTTGATGCACTGATGGATCACGTGACATAACCTTAAATTATTAATTATTATTAAACGATAAGAAAATAGGAAAATTTCGCCCAAAATTTTTAATAATATGAGTGAAAAAACTCACTGGGTTTTATTTACCAAATCTCTAAGTGGGCTAATTTTTAAAATAAGATTGTCAGCACTAGATATGTAGCAGGCAAATGAAGGCAAGTAAATATTTTTTCAGTTATTTATCCATACTTGTTTTTAGTTTTTATGCTTATTCAAAAGTGCTTAGATTTATTTGTTTTAATTAAATTAAGACAGTTTGACAGTTAAGATTACAAAATCACAAATGGCAGTCGTTCTTAAATAATTTTCAACAGATAAAAATTAAGATTGCACCAGTTGGCACTTTATTGGTCACGTGGTTGAATATTAGAAAGTGTAAACAATAATTAGTAGGTCTGTAGAATTAGAAATTTATTTTTTTTTTTACTTTGAAAAACCGGTAACTAAAGAAATTTTAGAAAATATTTCATCTGGACTTCACTTGTAACACCCTGTATCTCGAAAACGGAACCTTTTTGGGACCTATGTTTATATAAACTTTTACTCCTATTTTTAACCGACTTCAAAAAATGGAGGAGGTTCTCAATTCGTCGCAATATTTTTAATTTTTTTTATGTATGTTCAGCGATAATTCTTTAACACGATGTCCGGTTTTAATGTTTTTTTTGGTTAGACAGGGGGTACTTCAGGGGTGGTCCCACATCAATTTGGTCAAAATCTAATAATTGAGTCCATTAGAAAATCCTCAAACTCTTCAATTTTTATGTAAGTTTAGTGGTAATTCTTTACAACCTTGTCCGATTTCTAGGATTCTTTTTTTTGTTAGTAAAGGGACAACTTAGAGGTGGTCCCCCTTTAAGTTTGGTCAAGATGTGGTGATGGCATCTGCACGATTTTGAAGTCGGTTTTTTAAAATTACATTTATAACTTGTTATCCTTACAAATTCAAAACCAAATCCTAACTACAATACATAATACACAAAAATTCGCGATTGACAATGTCATTCGCATTGTCAAGTTAGTGTCAATATAAATCAAACATTTTTAAATCAGATAGTATAACGTCATTATAATAACGTAAGCACCTTGACCACACTTGACTTGGTCACATTTCTAGTACCTGATTTAAAATCGCCTTGTCTAAGGGTTTTGAAAATTTAATATTTACATGACATAATGTCTGACTGATGTATGATTAAAGTGTCCTAATGACAGAAAATTATATTTTTACACATTTATTTTAAAATTAGTGCAATATACTAACTGGAAGTTATGACAGAGCAACCCCTACTAATGGATAATTTGGATAATATTTTATTGTCAATCGGCGAATTTGGAAAATACCAGGTTTGGGTACTAATGTTTATATGCATTGCTCTCATTTTGAATACTGGTAGCCACATTAGTTACGTCTTTACCGCATTTACAGTTATAAATTATAGGTAATTACATGAAAGGTATATTTCACTAAATATTCGACTCAAATTTTTTAATGAACCACATATTTATGTAATCTTACTGTCTACATACTTACCCATATCTATTACTCAAATAGAACACTAGATACGTCCAACAAAAACCTTTGTTATAACATTCCAAAAATAATCTTTTATTTAATGTAAATTTCCTAACAAAAAAATCTGAAGAAGGAAATTTTACTTAATTCATTCATTTTTTTTTACGAAATTAATGTTTGTTAACACATTATACCATGTAAATATGGAATAAATAAATTTAAACAACTTCAGGGGATAAGCTTTTCTTTATTTTTAAAAACATGGATGATCAATCCTAATAACTATCTGTATCATTGATCTTGTCAAATTACCAGGTCTACAGTGTTGCCATATCATAACCTATCATGTGCCTTTCATTACCTACGAGCAACCATTATTATTTAATAGAACAAAACTTACTACAACAAGATGGTCTTGATTACTTATATCAAGGGTGGAATCTAAAATAGGATTATTAGTATATCCATTGAACATAATTATCCCATTTCTGCCAAAATGTGTTAATACGTAAAATACTTATAAGTATTTAGAGTAGCAGAGTTTGTAGGAAAAAATGCTAGAAAATGTAATGTAAGCGACCGACGACATCAGATTTATGCTGCGTTTGAGAATCCACATCGGATGCATCTGAGATGTAAAAAATCTTTGATCACGTGATTCAGTATACGTAAATGTAATGGGACAGATGTGTCCGATGTGGATAAAAAAAACGCTCGAGATGTAAAAAATGCATCGGGGGGGCTATTTTCAAAGTATGGGAGCACTCATTTCTCTCAAGATTCTCATCAGAAATGTCATACGTCAATGTGGAAACGCTGTTTTTAAAGGCCTCGAGGATTAAAATTCTTATGAGGATATTAATTATCTCTAAATAAACCGTGAGAAACAATCAGTGAGTTCACACTGGCCCTTAGGACCCTAAAAATACTGTTTTACGTTGACGTATGACATTTCTCTCTCGAGAGAAATGAATTCTCTCGACTTTGAAAATAGCCCCCCCGATGTGGATTCTCAAACGCAGCATTAGTATGGCAATATTTGCCGCCTTACTTCTGTGTCGGTCTCGCGTCGCTTGTCGCGCGTTGCCAAATAGTACCTTTATCGTTTCATTTTTAACCGACTTCAAAAAAGGAGGAGGTTCTCAATTCGTCGTAATATTTTTTTATGTATGTTCAGCGATAATTATTTTACACGGTGTCCGATTTCAATGATTCTTTTTTTGTTAGAACGGGGATACTTTAGGGGTGGTCCCATATAAATTTGGCAAAATCTAATAATTGGGTTCATGAGAAAAATCCTCACTCTTCATTTTTTATGTATGTTTAGCGATAATTCTTTACCGCCTTGTCCAATTTCTATGATTCTTTTTTTGTTAGTAAGGGGGTACCTCAGGGGTGGTCCCATATAAATGTAGTTAAGATGTGACTGCATCTGCACGATTTTGAAGTCGTTTTTTTTTTAATTACTTTTAATACTTGTTCTTCTATGATTGAATTACGTAAACACATTTTAATTTTAATTGATTTTCGCACGACCAAATGATATTTCCAATTGAATCTAATTGGGTAATTCCCATAGCTGGCGCACGGGTATTCATTGTTAGTTAATAATAAAGTGTATAAGTGTATAAATGTATATGAGTGGGCGAAAAAACGATATTAATGTTAATAAATTACTACCGTTAGTATTTGGCTTCTGCGAACCTGTCTAAACAACTTCCAACCTCCTTTATTTGCATTTTGGCTCGTGTAAGGTTTTACAATGGAAATCGGAAGTAAGCAATTTCTGGCGTTTATCGAATTGAATTTGGAACAAAACATTTACGTACATATAGCGCCGAAGAAGAAATAAAAGCTTTTGTATCGACAAGGTCGTGAAATTGGGTGTATTGAATCTCTCCCTACTAGTAAAAATGCATTACAACAGAAAAACTTTTGTTTTTTTTTTATTAATTCGGGTGTTCCTCACGGATCAATACTAGGTCCATTTTTGTTTGTCATGTGTGATTCTCGATTACCACTTGCATGTCAGATTCATACTTATGCAGGTACAGGGTTACCAGGTTTTTAAAAGAGATAACGGAAAGACGGGATTTTAGGGGAAAGTAGAAACAACTCTGTCTATTTCCATTTTTATAATCAAAATTACTTATTTTGTAAAAAATCCGTACCTAATTTTTGGTAAAGATAGACTGAGGTGTTTTTATAAATAATAAAATTAAATATTAACATAGGTATATATTAATTTTTAAATGCTTAGAAATATTCTTAGTTTCTTATAATAAAAGGTACACAAATTTTCAATAATTAAAAAAAAAAAACATCTGATTTATGCTCTTGGCAAGCGACCCATGCAAAATTAACATGTTCATAAAAATATAAAATTAGTTTTTTAACAATGCATTCTATATTGTCACGAAATTCATATTTTTTCTAATTTTAATTAATTATTTAAATAACATCCTGTACATAAAACCTTGTTTAATTATGTCGACAATTTGTTTTAAATTGCAATCATGTGCAAGGTTTATTTGTAATAATTAAAAGTAAATATAAACGGTGTATATAGTAGATCAGGCTAGTTTTATATATATAATACAAAATAATGTAATAAAAAAGTAAAAAAAAAAAATTGTATATAACACGAAGGATGTTCATCCTTAAGCAAAATGTTAGGCTGGCGATTTAGTATCCGTAGCCAAGGAAAACCTAAATCTAATCACACACATGCGCAAGGCTTAGATATACCAGCCCTGGTCATTGGAAGATCTTTGCGCCATCTATAAGCTTACATAACAACTAATAAAATAAAAAAGAAAACTGTAAATTATTATTTTGGCAATGTGTCTAAAGTTACAGCGGCGTTAAGTATAATTTTATTTCTTGTTTTCTTCTTTAGTTGTATGGCCTCAGTTTTCACTCTCACTATCGCCAAGATCTGTAATCTAGATCTACATGGCTTGCTAAGCGCGCGTTAGGTCGTTTTATGTTTTTACAAATTTTGACTTGACACATGACTAAGAAAAATAAGACTGGGACCTGGCACTAAGTAGAAAGAGATAGTGAAAAACTGAGCACATACAACTAATGAAGAAGACAAAGAAAAAAATGAATACCGACGCCGTAACCTTAAACAGATTGCCAAAATAATAATTTACAGTTTTCTTTTTTATTTTATTAATTTTTATGTAAACTTGTAGATGGCGAAAAGATCTTCCAATGACCTTGCAACGTCAAGATGTCTTCCGTTGAAATCATCTATTGTAACTACAACCCTAAGGGCGGGACATTCGTTTTTATAATTCAATGCTGAATTGTCATTTCAGTTGGTTTTTTGTTTTCTTCCAGATGTAAAATTCCCGAATGCGATACATCTCCCCCCGACTATGACGCTGGATTCCTCACCAATGCCGTACCATTTAAGAATAAGTTACCGTCAAAATGTGAAACATTTTTGTATAATTTTTCCAACGTAGAGCCGCCCATTATATGCACTCCGGACGTTTTCGATAAAAGCGGGACCCGCAAGTGCAATGATTTCGTTTATGAGACGGACGTTTGGAGTATTTTACAAGAAGTAAGCAGGTATTTGAGTAATAACTAGTAGTAGCTCTTCAGTATACTTTCTGTAATTTTTTCCCAGGTCTGGAGGCAAAAATAGAAGTATGGCAACATCGCGAAATATTTTTTCCCGGATATGGAGATAAAAATAGAAATATGGCAATATCATAAAAAAGTAGAAATTTCCCCAGAACTATGGAGTGTATAGGATAGGAGGACACTCTTATGTGGTTGTTTATATCAAAAATACCTACCAAAATGTATAAAATTAAGATGGCGCTCGTGTACTAGAAGGGAAAAATTCAATGATATATAGATAATCATTCATATGTAAATCAGACGACGAAAAGCGAGGCGCTTGTAAATTACCTTTTTCGGTTTTTCGGTGTTGCCATATCTTGGGATTCTTTTAAAATCTACTGAAAAATAATGGCTATTCCTGAGAAATTTACTAATTTTACTATGTTGCCGTGGTCTATGCTTTCCACTTTGTCCCCAGATCTAGAGAAAAATCAGGGAAAGTGTACTGAAGTGACCAAATTATTTTGTTCTTTTTGTTAATAAATATTCTATGTAGAGTGATTCTTAAGAGCCAATAAGAGGTCATACTATACCTCGGTGTGATCTACAAAATATTTAGGATACATTGTCCAGATTATACAGTAGATAAAGCAGATATTTTTTGCAATAAATTAACGAAAGTTTCAGACAGAACAGTTTATCAAAAAAAAGTGAGTATGGAAAATGGAAAAGCAAGATTTTTAGAAGTTTAAACACGCGATTTGGTAAAAATCTTTCTTTTTTTGTGAATTAAATCAGTGCCGAGTTATAGAGTGATACGGATTTGTCAAAAATATTTCGTCTAATCTTAGGACACCAATTCAATTTTCGTTATTATAAGATAATCCATAATATTGCCCTATTGAAAAAAGAAGAATTCGTTGTTTGTCGAGGACATGGCGATAAAGAGACACTATTTATTATGGACAAAACTTAGATTAATCAAGGGTACACTATTGCTAAAGCTTTCGAAATTAAATATCATAAAGTACTCTTTACGGGATTGAAATCACCTCTGGGTAAAAGACGTCATTTAATAATTATTGTTGAAGGTGGGTGTGCTCAATCCAAAAGAATGTTGATAATCACGAAAAAATGGATATAAATGTATTTGAAACGTGGATTTAATCTAGTCTTTCGCGTTTAAAACCGGATTCAGTCATTGTATTGGATAACGCTTCATATCATACGTGTCACTTAGAAAGACTTCCCATGATGGCGTTCTACGATTTTTTCCAAGAGGCTGAGTTAATATGGGCTCAAGTAAATGGCAATGTCGCAGAAAAAATACAATTTTCACATTGGCAGACTTAAAATTATTTTTAAAAGTACTTTAACAGATACTGATTGGTCTACATTTATTGGCCACGTCATAAAAAAGAAGAAACACTTTGGGGCATAGATCCAAGAATAGAAATCTTTATAGAACGTATTATTATGACCATTGGTAAGAATATCAATGATTTTGAAAATTCATATGAATTCTTAGACAATTGAACAGACATTTTTATTTAAATTCGTATTTTAATGTTGTTGTCTAGTTTAACTTTATGTATTATCGAGAATTCCTATTTTATTTTAGTTTTATTTAAATTTTACGACGATGTTTTTTATTTTTTATCACGGTATATATATAATTTAATTTTATAATTATTTGTGAACAGGGTGGTCTGTAATTTTAATGGCCAATAGAGTAATGGCATAATATAGCTTCTTAGCTTTAAAATAATATGATCTGGCTCAACTTGAATCAATGAAAATTTAATAATATAAAAGTTACGTGTCAAAGTTGAAAATATTTTTTTTTGTATTTTTTGTTTTTTTATTTTTTGGTTTATTTTTTGTTTTTTTCTTGTATTTTTGTTTTTTTTTGTTTATTTTTTTTTGCTATTAATTCTTTGTTTATTTTTAAAATATATTTCGTGATTCTGAACTGTTTTAAATACAATTTTTACATAATAATGACATATATATCATATATTACATATTTCCCATTGAAAAGAGCCATAAAATTTGTAATCTAAGGCAGCCTACAATTTTCATAAATAATATTTATTATAAAAAAAATTCTAACGGTTTACTTTACCTATAAATCGTCTTTTTAATACACACTACAAAAATGTTGTTGCCATTACAAGAAAGATATTGTTGACCCAGTATTGCTATTCATGGGCAATGTTAATAAATTTCGCGACATGGTCACAATTCTTCCATGGCCTTACCATTGACTCGAATGTCGGTGTACAATATAAATTATTCATAATATTATTCAGGTTGCAATGAACGTTATTTGCAGCCCTATTAATTGAAACAAATTAATCATAAAATATAAATACAATTTTAAGATTTTTCCAAACAATTATTAAGAGATGGATGCTGTTTATCGTGTAATGACGCGTCAAAGATTGGTCTAATTCTAGTCGTGGTATTTTTCTATATATAATGTTTTGCTCTGGAGAGGGAATTTCTTTAATAATGCCTTTAGAAATCCAAAAACATTTTCGTACTTAGACATTCTAATTTTAACTTCCTAAAAGTAGAAGAGCTGATAATTAGATAATTAGATCAGGATGGCCTTCAGTCCACGGCAAGTGGACAATGTATCTACATTCTAACTCTTTGGAAACAGTTAATACAAATATATATTTCTATTATAATATAAAAAGCAGAAATATTACATTGTATTCTAATAGAAATGTTTATTTGTGTTAAGTATATAGGCTTTGCTAGCCTCCTTGTAGACTGACACAAGCCGCCACTGTTAAAGTCTATCATAAATGTGTCTCAACAACAGTCAAACCAAAAGATAACTGTAAAAATTTACTAGTACCACCAACGTCTCCATTTATAAAGTGTTTAGAATGTTATTTAATTTTATATACTGTATATTGTAAATAAATATATTTTGAACTGAACTGTTGAATTTAATTCAAAGCGGTGCGTAGTTATCACGGACATGACTCGTATCTCTGTCTTTATTAATCATAGGCTACATTAAACACATTTATACTACCACCTTTATAACAACATAATTACTGATTTACCTACTAGAATTAACTTTCTTAATCCAATAAATTAAAATACAATAATTCAACAAACCAGTTGCTAAATTATATTCTGTCATACCTGGAACAAATATATTATTATCTTATCTATTTCGTTATTTACCTGAAAGCAATTATATGTATTAAATATTTTTATATTTATGTAAATAATTTGCTTTGAAATGTTTTAGTATGATTTGCAATGCGAAAATAACGAGTGGAAATTAACCATGGTTGGTACAGTCAATAGCGTTGGACAATTTGTTGGACTCTTTCTAGGTGGGCTCATATCAGATCGGTAAGATACTAATCGCGATATGCCCTCAATATATGAAAGCCTTCTGGACAACACGAATAATAGTACTATTTAGAAAACAATAATATGGAATCTAGACATGGGTATCTCCTTGACCCCACCACCTACCCCAGTGGCTTTATTGCCCAACAGATATCCATTTATAGGACAATAAAATTAACAAAAAAGAAAAAAATACTACGATTATCAAATTTTTCCCCATAAAAGAACATGAAAACTAATTTTTCCCTATAAAATAACATGAAAACTTGCGAGAGATGACATGCCGGTGACAATCTCCAGCAAGTCGCCACCTTTTCGCTAGCGATTCGCCAGAGATTCATCTGCGGTACTAGCAACGATCCGCTGGCGAATTGCTGCATACGGCTGTTAGTATCATCATATAGCATATTCTCTTTATTCTATCTTAATGTCTAAACGTAAGCGTGTTGAAACGTGGATCAGGTGGCATATAAAAATGTATTTGACTAAAAATATCACTACAATCAAGGGCTCAAGCGAGGCAGCACCATTTGATGTTCTTATTGAATTCAAACTTTGATCTGGAATAGTTAAATTCCAAAACGTTATCCCAGTGTTGTCCAAAAGTCTCTTGTATAGCATGATCTTATTGGACTATATTCTATTCGTTTAACGTCATTTTATTTTTAGATTTGGTCGCAAATTCGTTCTAATTTGGGGTATGATATTTTGCGCCGTTTTTGGACTATTGAGGACATGTATGACTAGCTACGAATGGTTTTTGGTTTTCGAATTTTTAGATGCAGTTTTCGGTGCTTCGACATACATATGTGGCTTCGTACTAGGTACGCATCTCTTGAATTATACTCATGACCATAAATATTGTATACCTAGAATATGTTCACTATATGAATTTGTCTTTTTTTAAGGTGTGGAATTGGTAGGCCCTAAAAAGAGAGTATTGACTGGAATTTTGACGAGCTCTAGCTACGCTCTTGGAGAAATATTTACAGCCGCGTCTGCATGGGCTGTCAAATCTTGGAAGTAAGTTCATTGAATATTTCATTTTGAATTTATTATAAATACATGTTAGCAGGTAAACAAATTATGAGTTAATTGTATTACGGTAAGACACATTGGCAGCCAAGAGTGGAGGGTGCGTACTGTCGTCTGCACTCTCCCGGGTAGAACGAGGTGAGTCGCCTTGAGTGTCGAGTGTGTGGTCAGCTGTGGCTGTAGGCGGTTAATTCTCACGCATTGTGTTCTATCGATAAAATCATTTGGTAACTAAATAATTATTTGACTTGATAATTAATAAAAATCTAAGATACAATATCCCAAAACATTTATTTTTTCAGGCCGATCATTTATATCCTGTACAGCCCCAGTTTCCTTCTAATTTTCTACATTTGGCTGGTGCCCGAATCGATCAGATGGCTACTTAGCAAGGGACGGACCGAAGAAGCGAAGGCCATCTTAAAAAGAGCGGCCAAATTCAACAACAGGGAACTATCAGAGAGCACGTTGGAGAAACTCACCATCTCCACGTCGAAAGAGGAGGAAGAAAAGGGGGCTCTGCTGCAGGCCTGCAAATCTTCGATACTCTGTATACGGCTGATCGTATGCGCTTTCTGCTGGATCGTGTGCGCTTTCCTGTTTTACGGATTGACGTTGAACTCGGTGAGTTTGGTGGCCGGCAATCCGTACTTGGACTTCATGTTGACGGCGCTCATAGAAATACCTGCTTACGTGTGTTCGCACTTCATGCTGGATATGTACGGAAGGAGAAAACCTCTGTTTGCGTCGTTCTTTGTTACCGGATTGGCTTGCGCGTCGTTCATATTCGTTCCGGCTGGTAAGCATCTTAATATATTACGATTTATTACGATTTATCACGATTTATTACGATTTAGTACGATTTAGTACGATTTATTACCATTTATTACAATTTATTACGATTTATTACGATTTATTACGATTAATTACGATTTATTACGATTTATTACGATTTATTACGATTTATTACGATTCATTACGATTAATTACGATTTATTACGATTTATTACGATTTATTACGATTTATTACGATTTATTACGATTTATTACGATTTATTACGATTTATTATAATTCACAATACAATTAATAATTTTTATGCCAAATTATTAATCACCCTGTATGTATCTAAATATTTATTGTTGTTTATTTCAGATTCGCACGCCGGTACCTTAGCTGTATTTTTAATTGGAAAATTTGGAGCAACATTAGCCTTTACAAATTTGTATGTGCACACCAGTGAAATGTTTCCAACGAAAACGAGACACACGTTTATGGGATGCTGTTCCACATTGGGACGGTTGGGATCAATGTTGGCCCCACAGACGCCTCTATTGGTGAGTATTGGAACGAGAATTGAGCGAGGTGAAGCGAATTTTATCGAAGGATTTGAATCACCATTCAAATAATACTAAAATAAAAAAATTTAACATAACCTTATTATTTTCTAAACAAAGCAAAGTAACCGTGACAACGGCTGTCAATGCTGTCATAGTTGTCAAAACTTTAAATATGGTTTAATGGACAAGTAATGTTATTAGAGAGTTATTGCAAATTTCTATAACGTCAATCACTAATAGTGACAACTTAATTAGTGGCAAATAAATTCCATAGTAAAATAAGACTTAATGCAAACCTGAAATTTTGACATCAGAGTCTTTGTCCTTATATATATTTCTAATCTCATTTTAAAAATTTTAAATTACAGTTCATCTTTTTTTGTTGATTATAATAGTACATAATATGGAAGAGGCATTAGAAATTACCATTTTAGAAGGTTTTGATGACGATGATATTAAATATGTAATATTAAAAAACCCTAAAGCTAAAAAGTCGCCACTATCTGCTGCCCTTAAGCATCCACAATTAAGAACAGGCACAATCTTTAATAAAGTCAGTTCTAAAATGTAAACGATTTACGCATGCTCAAATGTCAAAATAAGAGCGGCGCTAATAGTGACTGACCTTATAAGTGAACTTGTAATATATATCTAATACTTTAGCATCTCGCTGTATTGTACATTTTCTGTCTGTTCAGCATTTGATCTTGCGTACAGCAAACTTACAGCAAAACGTCTTAAAAAAGGTCTATATCTCTCTATATCTTTATCTTTATATCATTCTATATCTCTCTATGCCTCTCTATATTTCTCTAACTTTTAATATCTCTCTATATCTTTCTATATCTATTTATATCACTCGATGTCTATATATCTTTATATATCTCTCTATATCTCTTAATGTCTCTATATATCTCTCTATATCTCTCTATATCTCTTTATATATATATCTCTCTATATCTCTCTCTATATCTCTCTCTATATATCTTTATATCTTTCTATATCTCTTTATATCTCTCTATATCTCTCTATATCTTTCTATATCTCTCTATACCTCTCTATATATCTCTGTATATTTCTCTATATTTCTCCATATCTCTCTATATCTCTTTATATCTCTATATGACTTCCTCTGTGTTTTGTGTTTCTAAGGACCGATTCCACCGTTGTGTTAAACGAAGTTTAAAATGACATTTTTACATTAACAATGTCACTTTAATCTCCGTTTAACACAACGGTGGAATCGGCTCTTAATAGCTAAAAAAAGAAGAGAAAAGAAAAAAAGGAAAAGAAAAAAGAAGACAAAACTATTTCAATAATTATAAATAAACATTTGTGTACCTATTCAATGCCATATTGACCATATTCATTGCGATCGGTCTGCCAAGTTCCTTTAACTACTTTAACACTTTTTACTCCAAACGACCCTTTTAGCGTTCGGTTTAGTATGATTAGTGACAGTTTAACACGCTTAAATGTCATTTAAAAAGCACCCTAAAAAACTCCGCTTTTGTCCCACTCCAGCCTCTGACTATCCGAACTCGCCTATTGTATTGTTTTTACAGGACAATTGACATCTGACATACATGGTAACTTGTTTTTGCTGCGTTTGAGAATCCACATCGGATGCATTTTTTACATCTCGAGCGTTTTTTTATCCACATCGGACACATCTGTCCCATTACATTTACGTATACTGAATCACGTGATCAAAGATTTTTTACATCTCAGATGCATCCGATGTGGATTCTCAAACGCAGCAATAGTATAGAAACAAATACGTGTTACCAACTTTGTTTTGACGTCACGTTAAAAGTGTTACCATATTTTTTTATTCGTACGAATTTTCTTTTATGTATAAGTAATTTAACAGTAAAAATTTTAAACATTTATCTATTTTGCAGGCACAATTGTGGACGCCTCTGCCGTTGGTATCGTTTGCAGTAATGGCCGCCCTGGCGTGCATGTTATCTCTTCTATTTCCGGAAACTGCAAATATCAAACTACCCGATACGATCGAAGAAGCCGAAAATCTGTCAAAACTGCCTAAAACTGTCAACCAAGAAAAGCACAATGCGTAGTTGAGATTAATAATGAAGAAATTTTATCTAGACAAAATTGTATTTATTATAATTATTATATAAGTTAGATTTTGCTACTGTGATATTTACTGTTTTATTTATAGTTTTAGTAAATTATTATGATTTAGTTAGTTATAATATTTTAATGATACATAATTTTATGTAGTTAAAAAATGTCAGTACCTATAACAATCTCTTGAACTTAGAAAAATAGTATACATTTCTATAAATTCTTTTTATTGAAATATATATTTTGAAAATTGAAAATGTATTTATGTAATTTGGTATTTATTTAATGTACAAAAATATTGGAATAAAATATTTATCAGATTTGCATTAATTATATTTATTAAATCATTTATATTTTATCTTAAATGTGAAATTTTTTTTTCCGAATAAACAACATATAGAAATAGAATTAAAATCTGAAATTAACCTGAAATTTTTTCTCGTAAGCGTTTTTTTAAGAAAATTGTTTTTTCTGTACCTACTGTAAAATAATCCACTAATTGTTATATTTTATATCCATTCTAGATAGAACACTGCAAAAAAATTAAATCCGCCAATCACAGTTCATATTTTGGACACCCAATTACTATTTCTACAATTTTAAATAAGTGACAATTCTGTCAAACTGTCAATATATTTTTTAGTTATTGAAATTAAATATACATTAAAAGGAGTTATTTTTGTGTAAAATCGATAAATAATAGCATTTTTATTTATTTTAAATATAAGTATAGGATATTTAATTTTTTTTAACGCATATCTACAAAACATTTATTTTTCAAACCTTAATAATTTCTAAAATGTACATTAATAAAGACATTGTCATAATAAAGACGTAAAAAGTCAATATTTTTTTTAATACATTATTTTTATGATTTTTCAAATGAAATCCCTCTATAAATTATCCCAAAAATATTTTTCGATATTTATCCCACTCAACATGCAATTTTAAAGTAAAATTTATTCACACAATGAAGGTTAATAAAAGAAAAATGCAAACTTTTCGCAAGAAAATAGCAATTCGTTAAAAAGAGAGAAATCGATACATTTAAATAATATGCAAATGAGAATTTATTATTTTCTTTTCTACGCCCCTTTATGACAGTACGTCACTGGTAGACCGGAAACACTTGTCGCCATGTCAAAATTAGATACCATCGCGATTCCAAGGTCGTTCAGGATTCCTCCTTCCTGACAATATATATTCTAAGAAAATAAATATCATTTCTTCTTCAAGTTTCTTCTCTTCTACGCTAACCGTTATGCCCCCGTTATGCTTTTCCAAAGGCCAACTACTTCTTTTTTGGCCTATGTTTTATAGGACAATAGGCACGATTACGAATTACGATTGATTGCTCTAGGTCTGTTCTGGTTTTGAGAAATAACGATCCACAACTGTCGGGCTCATGCGCAGTAGATAAAAAGTGTTCTGGTTTTTCTGGGACTACTTCGGATCTCTCAGTCCAGTGTTCTGGTTTTGTATCCGAAATAATCCGTGATTGTTGTAAACAGTCAAAAAGTGTTCATGCTTGGGAGTGTGGATCGACTCGGACTGTTTTGACCGCGCATGCGTTTTTGAAGTGTTATGAATATTGTATTGGCTTTTTAGACTATACGAAACTTATACAATCCCAAATTGTTTATTTATATGTGGACGAATGTCTCTTGTTCTTGTTTTATTTGTAAATTAAAGCAATTTTAGAATTATTAATTTTTTAATATTATTCTGTTTTTATTTATTCCATTGAAATGTGATGATAATGGTAAACATATACATGCAAATGTTATTTGAAGCTGAGCTTTCAAAAGGAACTTCATTATTATAATAAACAATAAACAAAACACCTTTATAACGTGTTCTGGTTTTCCAACAATTTCAAACAGTCGGGGATTTTTTGCCTTTACGCATACGGTCCGGCGCAGTTTCAAAACAGTTTTCATTTTGAGAACCAGAACAAACCTTCTGTCAGTCTGTCATAATTCAGGCATGTCATAAAATAGTCTATTTTCATTATTCATAAAATATTTTTCAATCATCCGTTTTTATTTTTTATTTGTTAAATTTGGTCTATTTATATTATTCTATCGTGATGTTGATCGTTATTCGGTCAAATGTTTAAAATTGAATATAGGTATGGCTTCTGTGAAAGTGGATTCAAAACATAAGTGTGCTGCAAAGAATTGTTTTAAGCGACCTCATAAGGCTGGCGAAAGTTTATTTAGGTTTCCTAAAGATACACAGAGGTAGGTATTTACTATTGTAATAAAATAATAATAAACACTATAATTTATTAATTTTTTACTAATATCAGGATATCAAGTAAAATAACATTATGTATTGATGGCAATGAAAAACTACATAAATGACAAGTTAATAAGCAACATAGAAATATGCTAGTGGATACTTTGATATACTTTAATTAAATAAATATAGAAATACTTCAATAAAAATGTGAAAAACTTTAAAAGAAGTATATTTGTAGTTTGAACGGTTAACAAAATGTATGTCTGTACTTATTGGTGCTTCCACTTGTTTTGACAGAAACTATCAACCCATACCTTGCTACTCTGACTGGCCATGGCCTGGGCACAGCTCAAATTAAAATGCAAAGTCTCACATATAACACATTAGTGTAGACATACGTTTTAGTACCTGCCCAAACTACAAGTTTGCCAAAGAGGGTGCTAAAACAAGGGTTAATACCCATTTGTATGTAGCATCCTCAAAGGTTGAAGTTAGTAGGGTAAATAAAAGAAATAAGATTAAATGAACCATGTTTTTCAAATACAATGTTCTATTTTTGGTTTATTTTATTTGAATAGTTTTAGGATCAAATATGCAGTAAAAATTTGCAAAAAAATCATATTCCAATTTGAGTTTTTCTATTTTTCCAAAATGTAACAAGGTAATGACAAAAGCGATACAATTTTTGAAAAATTGGATTTAATAAATTAGTTCACATTCTGATGTTTCCTAGTTAGGACTCTGGCACAGTATTTCGGTAATGGTTTGACTCACCAAAGAATAAGTGTTTACTGGGCTTTCAAAAGTTATAAAAACAACATTAGTTGAGATAATGGGATAAATTAAACAATAAAATGTTTGGAATACATCTGAGATTACAGCAAACAGTGTGTAAACAGAATTATTTGCCTCAATTTTGCTACAAGATGTTTTGAAGCTGCAATAAAAACGTTTTAATTTACCCCTAAACAAAAAACTGTTACTTATTACAATAATTAAAAAAAAATCACAATAAATGTATCTACAAATTGGTAGAAAATTCATAAAAATAGGATAAAACATAAAAACTTGCTCAAAATTTTAGACTGGTGGAATTTTGTGCCAGGGAGTGAAGGTATATTACTGTAAATCATTTATACCATAATTTTTCTTTCATTTTTGTCTTATATTATGGTTTTATTTTATGCTAATTATTTACTAATATTTATAAAATTTATGTATATTGAATTTGTATTTGAGTTCAAATTAATGCTTCCTCTTTTTACCATAGTATAAATATACTGCAGTGAGTTAGATTATGAGGAAAACTCTATAAAAATGGTGAACTGCATGGTTTTGTGGTGCCCAAATAAAGGCACTATTAATGGACTATCGTATTTTAGGTAAGTTCATAAGTAAGGTGATTTCCATATACAATATATCTTATATCTCGCCACTTATCAACAGAGATACAGTTAACAAGTTCAGTAAAAAAATAATTATAATCAGAATTAGTAATTTTTACTCTACTGCCAATATGCTATATTATATTATGTGTGTTCCAATGACATTTATTTGGACAAAAACAAACCATTCTATCATTGAATTTGACATATAAGTTCCTAGTAATTGTTATATATTATTTACAGGTCATAAAAAATTAGTTTAAAAATATATGATCAATTATTTTTAATGTTTAAATCTTAGAACATATATAGTCAGGAAGGAGCATGCCAAGTCCGTGTTAATCTAATCGATCTGACGGAAGTGGTAGTCATGTTGTACTATGGATGTTTTGTAGACATTTTTAAAAAGTATTTAGTGGAAACACTTGTCGCCATATTCGTTCCTTAGAATCTACTTCACTGTCAAAATTAGATACCATCGCGATTCCAAGGTCGTTTAGGATTCCTCCTTCCTGACTATATATATTCTAAGGTTTAAATGAATACCCATAACCTCTATTTGTCATTGGAACACAAATTACGTCATCATTAATATTGATTATAACCATGAGTTATAACCAAATTCGACAATAGACTCAATCACATACTTTGATTACTATACGGGGCAAGAGAGAGGTCCGACACGCTCAACATAGGGCGCGGCCATTTTGATTCCTATGACACAGTGTATAGCTAAAGAATCAGATCGCTCACTCTGCGTCGGCACTTTTGATCTCAAAGTTCCAGTTTATACACTGCGCAACTCGGATAATACAATATATGAAAACCGCCTATAATAAAACAGCAGTCTTCTGCGTATCCTGGATTTGTATCCCGGGAGTGAATGTTATTTTGGAACTTTCAACTGGTCCGAGTGAGCTAACTGATTATTTCGAAGCAGAAGCGGATGATTAAAACGCACCTATTAAAAATATTGCGCCAAGATGTAGGCAACACGTAATAAGGGTTCAAAATGGCGGAGTTTTCTATCTCCTTTTAAAAGGCACTCAGAAAGCTGCGCAGTGCGACCATTCTCCGTATAGTAAAAGAAATTCAAAGTATGTGGACTCAATGAACATCACTAGAGAAGCCGATTCGATATCAAATCGTTAAAGTTTTTTGACATTAGGTACGTATGAACCTTTCAATGAAGTTTAATGAGAAGCCTGTCATGTAACAACTTAGGGTTGAAATAAATTTAGTTTCCAAAGCCTTTTCTGGATACTCTCTTCTGTATTAAAGGTCTATTAGATTCTTAAAGCTATACAATATAAACATAGGTAGTTACTCTTTATTAAACTCGAAAATTTATCCATAGTGGTTTTTAGGAGAATAAAAAATAATCGCTTCTTTCTCTTAGTTTATCCATCAGTGAATAATATTTCGTAACAATAATAATACCATAAATCCATTTGGACTTACCTACTTATTTAACTTCAAGAGATGGTTATACAGTTAACATACCTGTAACAAATAAGCATAATTAATATTTCATAAAAATACGAGTAATAATAGTAAGTAAGAAAGGACAATGGAAAATTAATAACAAATCAAATTTGGCTAACATATTTCCCTAAAACAAGCCGTCTGGCATTTTCTCGATTGTTCTGAAATTAACAAGATGATTACGTCACCCTTTCTCGCTGAGAAAGAACCAACCTTCGAAAACTAATAGATAACAACAAAATAGATTTAAATTATCAATGTGGTGTGTGGCATTTAAATTTATATGCCAAACTGATACAGTTTTTTAAATATACATTAATGGCGTACTAGGAATGCTGACAAAATCAGGAACTTGTGGTACAGATAAAGTCTGTGAAAAATTCTACAGACCTAAATCTCTATAATGATTTACCTGATCATTATAAAAATTTAGATAACATATACTATTTTGTAGGATTCTTAGAAATTCATCGCCGTATACCGCATCTTCCTAACTCAAACAGTTGCAAATCTAATACGCATGCGTACTAATACGTCTAACAGCGCAAAATGCATATCTTTTTTCTCTAAAAATTTGAATAGTCACCATTATTAAAATTTTGAGCTATCGGGATATTTATATGTAATATAATGCATCAGTATGGCGTAATTTGTGCTTCAAACAAAAACAAATAATTTTTTCATTGATTTTGACATATATTTTTTAGTTTTTAGAGATTCTTATTTAGAAAAATATTTATTTTAAGATGACATAAAAGTTCAAAAACTGTATATAATAAAAAAATGAACAAAAATTAATACAAGTCTACTGTCACTGTCAACTTTGTTTGGCACACAAATTACGTCATTACTAATGCAGCCGTAAAAATGTAAGTTTATCTGACATTTGAAAAAATAGTTATTTGTTTACTGATCTTGTTTTCTGTTGCCAAGTGAACTGTGTATTTACGTTTTTTTTTTAAATTTAAATGTGAAACTATAAGAAAAAAAGTTTTAAAAATGTTTATTAAAGTACATACATACAGTCTGTTCGCTATACTTACGCGGGTTTTGGATTAACAAAATTATGCAAATTAGTCATTGACAACCAGTTCCAATAAGCTTCTCCCAAGAAATTAGGCAAAATTGCCCTAATGGTCAGATTTAAATTAAAATAACATTAGGGTAGGTAATAAATTTGTTACAAATATTGCAGTTGAATTGATTATTCGCAAGTGATGACATTGTATGTATATTGTAAATTTAGTGGACATTTTAAAAATGCCTAGACGTGTGTTAGATGTAGATAGTCTAATTTGTAGTGGACATAAGTATTTTACGGATCAAAAAGAAAATGGCGGTCCTTTAAAATCGGTAATGTCTATACAACAACGCGTATGCGATGCTCTAGGAATTAATGAAACCAAATTAAGAGGAGTATTACAAAATCACAATAGTGAACTGCCGAAAGAAGATCACCGCAAAACTCGCCCATCATTGAAATCGAAAGATATTCCAGATGGAAAGAAATTTGAAATTCGTGATACCATTTATCGAATGAGGGCCAACAAGGAACATGTGACCTTAAATACAGTTCTCTCGGAATTAATAGATAGAAAATTTGACGACATTGGCAGAACAAGTCTATGACAAGTGATACATAACTTGGGTTTCAAATTTCAAAAGGAGGATAACAGAAAGGCCCTTTGTGAAAGAAGTTCTGTCGTGCACAAGAGAATTAACTTTCTAAGAAAATATTCTAAATTTAAAGAAGAAGGGGCGAATTTTATATATTCAGACGAAACATGGATATTTTCTAGGGATCAAACATACCGATGGAGAAGGGAAGCGACACATAATTTTACATGCAGGAGGGAAATCGGGTTTTATAGAAGGTGCTGATTTAATATTTTCATCTAAATCAAAATCCAGTGACTATCACGATAATATGAACACAGAAATGTTTGTAAAATGGTTGCATGAAAAACTTCTCCCAGGTTTAAGTGATCTCAGCGTAATTATTTTAAACAATGCACTTTACCATTCTTAAGTATTAAACAAAAGTCCAACGAATTCTTGAACTTTTAATAAAATTAAAGAATGGTTGACAAAGGAACATATACCATTTCCTCAATATACCTTTATTAAAATCAGAATTATTACGCTTGGCAAATATACAAGCAAAACCAAAAACCTTTGTTGTGGATCAGATTATTGAAAGTTACGGTCATCAAGTTTTACGTCTGCCACCGTATCATTGCCAGTTTAATCCCATCGAATATATATGTGGAATAGCAAAACAATATTATGACAACCATATTGGGCCTAATGGTTATAGTGACGACGCAGTTCGGGAAACTTGGCGAAAGTCCAGAAGTGTGGCGGAACTGTATATCCAAGTGCGAGAAACTAATAGAAGATTGGTGGACTTATTTTTCATTTAAAATTATCTACATGGAACAAATTTTATAATATTATGACAACCACATTGGGCCTAATGGTTATAGTGACGACGCAGTTCGGGAAGCTTGGCGAAAAGCACTTTCAATTGCAACTCCAGAAGTGTGGCGGAACTGTATATCCAAGTGCGAGAAACTAATAGAAGATTGGTGGACTCGTGAAAATAAAATAAACGAAATAAGTCCAATCATAATAACAAAGAATGGCGATGACAGTGATAATTATGACGATTATGATATTTTGGATGATAATGACTGATTTTCATTTTTGTTGGCTAGTTCAATTTTTTTATTTTTTATTTGAAATTCTCTACATGGAACAAATTTTTATGTTAGAAAATATTTTATTTGAACTAAATAACCCTCTTATTATACATAGACCATATTTTCTGTGTGAAGTGTAATATAAAATTATTATTAGGTTTATAATAGCCACATTAGACTCCATTAATGAAGAAGTTTAATTCTGCTCTCAATTATACAAAAGATTCTCCATTATTATTTAATTAAAAAGTTGTGTACATTATTTTTCATTTCATTTAACCAGTTGATATTTCCCCAAAGAACAGGTCAAACTTTCGGGTACTTACCTGGAAATACTCATAAAAATTTTAATCCGAAACCCGCGTAAGTATAGTAAGTAGTTATCATTTAAAATAGCATGTAAGAATTTTAGGGAGAGAAACATATAGAGGTAAAACTTGACAGGAATTATATTGGTCATCTTCATCGTCGTAAAACGTGTGTTACGCTTTGTTTTCTTAACCTCAAATTTTAAAATTGATTTATTTTGATTATAGGCAAATCATTTACAATTATTACTGTGTACTCTGTTTTCATAACGAATATCCATTTTTTTTTATCAAAATTGGAAGAAAAATAAATAAATAAACACTTAACCTATCAAAATGCTGATAAACAAAAGTTCAAGATCGACTTTACGATTTTGAATAATGATTCGCATATCAGTGAAGCGGTTGACACGTTTGATGACGGTAAACACGGCCATTGATAAATGTATCAATTATTTTAGATTAACAAGACGTAGGCATCATATGTGGATGAGGGCATTAGGAAGAGATCCGACTATAGAAACATTGAACACGTACAATGTCGTGTGCAGTAATCACTTTTTGGAATCGGATATAATTACGAATCGTGCCAAATTATACCTTCGGGAAAATGCTATTCCCAGATTGAAATTAAAAAAACCTAAAATCGTTTTCACACCAAGCCGTTCTAAAAGGTACATAATATGTTTTAAACATAGCACATTTAGTTGTATTATACTCATTATGTATTATAGTTCCATCAAAAATAGCCCCTAACCTATCACCATTGTCACTACTTGAACATTACAATAAACAGCGCACCCATACTATATAAGAATATATAGAAGATACGAATTACCCTATATAATTTTCCCTGAGCATAATATAAAAATATTGATGGACACAGGATCTTCAAAATCATTCGTTAACCCTGAAGCAAAACAAAATTACCCAAATGATATAATAGATTAACCATTTGTAGTGACTACAGTTTTCCAAAAATCAGCACATAAACATAGTGTAAATATTAATGCCTCCAAAATTTTTAATTTTAATAATAAAGCAAAATTAAAATTATTTTATTTAATTTTCACAATGTATTTGATGGCTTAATAGGTGTAGATAATATTAACTTATTGCAAGCAAATATAATTTTTCAACAAGGATGTATTGTTACACCATTTGCAAATATTCCACTTCATTATCATAAATACTCTAAATACTCTAACTATAATAACACAGTTTCAGTTGAACCTAGAACTCAGCAAATAATTAAAATAAAGACTATTAAAACTCAAAATTCATTAGCAATATCGCTATTAGATAATTTCAATAAAACAGTTCGAACAATAAAACATAATCAAGATTTATTAGCTAGTAAAATTGATGCAATAACCATTATAGTAAAATGGGAAAATAGTATTTATATAAAAGATACAATTATCCAAATTATTAATATGTATTAAATTCAATACTGCAAGATATTGAAAACTCTGATATCATTTGCACAACTTGGAGTATTACATATCATAATTACAAAGATTTATTTAGAATTTTGGAAACCGTATTTAAAGATTATAATAAAAAAGAAATACCAGTTAGTTTAAGCTTAAGTAATGTATTATTTCTGCAAAAGATTAGTAGATTTAACCCTCGATTTAACCCTATATAATTTATATCATATACCTATTTTGAAAAAAAGGTCAGTTTAATGCAATTAACCCGGAAAATATATATGCAGTACAAAATAAATTGTACTATGCTTATTCGAGTAACTCCTGCACCAAATTGTTCAGCCAAAATTACATTTGTGACCCAACCAGTCTCAGAAAAGTAAACCAGAACAGCTCCTGCGAGATCCAACTTCTAAACTACGAAACCACCTTCACATACCCACAAGTATCCATAGTCGTATCACGCCCTTCTTTCACAAGGTTAGAACAAACGAATCAATGAATTTGGGTCATACCCAAATAAATTACACTTAAATGTAATTCTCAAGAAGTAATAATTAAGCTGTTTGGAACATTCCTAGCAGTAATTCCCACAAATTGTCAAATTATAACTAAGGAAGAAACCATTGTTAAAATGCTGAATCAAATATTTTCGAGAATCAAAATGGACGACCTTATTGCCGAAAAAGAATGGTCCACTCCCAATGTCAAATTGCAACCCATCAAACTCTACAAGAGAACAATTCAAAATTAACCAAATTTTGAATCCAAAGCCATTCCATATGTACCAAGCTCATGGACTATTATTATTTATATTATATTAGTTTTCATCCTTATCTTTTGGCTATTTAAAAGATGGAAAAAACTTAAAGAAAATCCAAGAAGGACAGAAAAAGTTTCAACCTACAAGATGTCCATCTTCCTCGTTAGCCCTCGGAACCTAAATCTTCAGGTGGAGGAGTTATATCACCTATACTATAGAAGAATATATAGAAGAAACCATTTTGTTAGCATTTTAGAATAGTTTGTTTATATAAAAGTAGTTTATTCAGTAAAAAGTAAGTTCCTAGTTAGTATTCATAACATCTAAATTTGTTTTAAAAATATCATTTTTGATATGTTTTCAAAAAGACTAAGTTTACAAAATTTGATTTATCAGCACCGGGGCTACAAGCTTTCAATGTTCTACTCTTAATATGACAAGATAGAAGAAAGTTATTATTTTCACATACTTTTAGAATACCTTAACTTGGTAAATTTTCTATAAAATAGACATTTTACTACTTGGCATTCAGTTACGCCATCTGGCGTCGTCCTATAGTTTTATGAATAATTTTCAGTGTTTTTCCGTCACAAAAAAATGATTAATTATGACCCTTAAACTCGGAAATACTCGGGTGTCAGGTTTATTAATGTGGTTTGCTCCACAAACTTTCGATACTACGTAAAAATGACACGGATAGCACCAGATGGAGGTACGGAATATGCCAGGGGTCAGAATGGTATTTAAATGAAATGCCAGATGGCGATAATAACAGGATTTGCAGCAAAGAATTTCCGCGTAAAAGGGGTTTTATACAAGGTTATTTTCCTTGCGAAATCTATTTACCATTATAGAATAAAATATTTCAAACATCACCCTTGTCTAACCCTTATAATGGTCCATTGCCCAGTAAACGCTTATTCACGACAACTAACCATATTTTTTCATTAAAGCTGATCTCACGGTAAAATGTGATTTTATTTGTATTCTTTTAAGGGCTAAAGAATGGGCAATAACCGCCGGAAGAGAGGATTTATTGAAAAAAGTCGACACTCTCTATAAAGGACATCGTATTTGTGGGGATCATTTTGAAAAAGAAATGTTTTCGACCCCGGAATGTAACAGACTTCTGGCACAAGCCAAACCAACGATCTTTCAGCATTCAAAACCAGAACCTGAACAATCGATTACTGATCACCCACACTCGCTAGGTATTAACACATACGAGGGTGGATCAAAAAGTACCCGTGTTAGAAAGGAAGAGGCAAGTTTTTCAAAAAAATTTATTTCTATTTTTCAACGTAATCTCCTTTTAGTGCTATACACTTTTCCCAACGTTTCTTCCATTTATTTAACCCCTCCAAAAAATATGATTTCTCGAACTCCGCAAAATACGCTTCAGTCTCGACGATAACCTCGTTAGAGCTGATTTTTTCCCCCGAGCCACGTTTTCATGTTGGGGAATAGAAAAAAGTCGCATGGAGTCAAGTCGGGCGAGTACGGTGGGTGCGGCAGTAATTCGTACTGCAGGTTCATGCAATTTGACCGCGACAATTCTTGATGAATGTGCTGGTGCGTTACCGTGGTGAATCAGGACTTTTTTCTAAGCCAAATGAGGCCGTGTCTCCTTCAATTTTGCATCGAATCGGTCCAATAATTCACTATAGTACTGCCCTGTAATCGTACTTCCTTTCTGCAAAAAGTCGATGAGGATTATTCCCTTGGAATCCCAAAAAATCGTGGCAATGATCTTTCCGGCCGATGGGACCATCTTTGCTTTCTTCAGAGCAGATTCACCCCGAAAAATCCATTGCTTCGACTGTCGTTTGGTCTCTGGCGTATAATAATGTATCCAGGTTTCATCAACGGTGACGACTCGACGCAAAAACTCCTGCGAATTTCGATTAAAGAGCTCCAAACACTGTTTCGACATTGACAGCCGTATCTGCTTGTTGTCCACCGTAAGCAATCGCGGCACCCATCGGGCCGATATCTTTCTCATGTTTAACTTATGCAAAATATTAATTGCCGTTCCGTATGATACACCTTTGGCCTCTGCTACTTCTCGCACTTTCGTTCGGCGATCTGCGATCTTGGACCTTTTTAACGATTTCCTCGGTAACAACGTCTGCCGGGCGATCTGGTCGCTCCTCATCAAAAACAGATGTACGACCATGTTTAAATTCGTTGAACCAATATCTTACGGTTGTCATAGATGGTGAAGGGTTCCCTTAGACAGCATACAACTTTGCGTTTATTTCATCGCATGTTTTTCCATCCAAAAATAAGAAGCGAATTGCGGATCGATATTGTTCTTTTTCCATTTTATCGATTAATGCGAAACACGTATGGTACAAGTGGCTGCCAAATAAAAACCAACCTATGAATCAGTTTGAAATTTAGTACGGTGTCGTGTGACATATGACAGTACACGACAGTAATGCCAACTTCCCTCAGCAACGCCACCTGCCTTCAAACACGGGTACTTATTGATCCACCCTCAATATTGTTTCTAAATAACCTTTTTTACTGTTTTTTTAAAACGTTTAATAACAAAATAAATGTTAAATTTTGTTCGTAATAATATTTTCTTTTCAGTTGAAACTAAGATACTTGAAAATATTTTGAGTTCACAAAACGAAGACTCTTCAATGTTGGAGGAGACTGTACCCTTGTCGTCAGGTAATCATATTTTCTTAAATAGATTTTAAATGTTCTTCCTAATGTGTAAAAAATTTTGAATATTTCCACGATCGAGTATTAATACTTTCCTCTTGATTTTAAGTATTCAGTAACGTCTATATTTTACAAAATAACTTTGATTATGAATTTCTAAGTGATGCAGAACTTTTTGGAACACACTGTGTAATAATAATAATTTTTTGTGACACTTACCTAAAAAGGTCGTTTTAACATCCATATATCGTATTATTTCTTATTTCAGGCACAGACGATCTACTTTTACATCACGAAATAGACATCAAAACGGTACCAGTTTCGTCTACGAACTCCCAAACTTGGAACTCGCAGACTCAAACGGTATTAGACAAGCAAGAGGCATCAATGAAACGGCAGATAGCTTATTTAATGAACGACAACTGCCGTTTGATACGACAAATAAGAGAACTGGACGCTCAGGTGGAAGTGAAGCGCAATCAAATACTGAAAACCTTGACAATGGAAGAATTTCAGGATATCCTTAAAAAATTCAAAAATTCAGAGCAACAGTCTGATTCGGAAATTTTAAAACCCAACGAATCGGACGATGTTGTGGTCAAAATTGAAGCTGAAGATGTAGCGGTGAAAGTGGAAGATGCACCTGAATGGGAAGATGATATAGTCAAAGTGGAAAATCCAGTGAAATGGGAAGATGTTGTAGTTAAAACGGAATCAGAAGATGTAGCAGTGAAAGTGGAATATGAAGAAGTTTTCGTGAAAACGGAAGATATAGTGAAAATGGAAACTGATTAAAAACTAAAGTGTTTTCGTGAACAAATCTAAAGAATGCTGTCTAAAAACGTCAGAAAGACTAATGCAATGATGTTGAACAGAATGAGGAACGGTTCATAATGAAGTTGAGCTACTATTTGCTTTTAATGACGATATTTTTACAAGAATATATAAAAACACACTATGTATTATATTGAGTATATTTCACCTTTTATTTATTTTATTTTGATACTGGTTCTTCAGAAGAGTGTACAATTTTTTTTTGTAATTAAATATACTAGTTTATTAAGTATAAAATTTAGTTTTTTCTTTCACTAATGTTTCCTTAGAACTGTTAACTGCAACTATCTCGCTGGGAAGAGGCTTTTGATTAAAAATTTACAAATTTTATCAACCTCTATTTACACGAGTGCGGTCACTGCAGTAAATTATCTACAAATCTCGTCAGCCAAGTCTGACACGCCGGACTAGTCAAAAAGCTCATGAACATAGGTCTCCCCCCAGTATCGCCAAACTCATTCGCTGATGCCTTGTAACATTTTAAAATTCCATTTAAAAATGTTATTTTAATTGTGTGACATCCTGTATAAAATAGTATTCGTTTAATTTGGAATTTAATTATCGGCGATAGCAATATGCTTAGAGAGGAAAATTTCTCTAGGTGGGGATCTGGCTGGTTCTCGATGATTTGAACCTTTTCAATAAAATTCATTTCCCATCTGTTATCTCTAAGAAGCAGTTCGGTGTCGATACTGTAAAAACAGCGGTGAGTTATAAAATGTCATTAAAAAAATATCTCTGGAGCGTCTTACTCAATACACAAAAAACAATTTATCATTTTTAAACATCCAAACTCACAAAAAGCAACCCAATTCCCCCAACAAGTCATTGCAAATCTAAGAGTCAGACTCGACCAACAGAGTTGACTATTTGAGAGGGCGATTCTCTCGTACTCTCAACTGGTCTTCGGATGCCCAATGCTCTCTTGACAAGACGCGAAAGCGAACCAGTCTCTTTGGGGCTTTATGTGGACGATTTGGTCGATGCAACCCAAATACTTAAATTCACACATACAAGTATTGTATCTACCCTGTTGCCGAGTACAGAGCTATCATATTAACAACCTGTCTTTCCCATAAATTCACTACACTCTAGAAACGTTTACTCCGAGAGAAACTATCATAAACAAGCAGCCATCAAAGCTCTGAGCTCTTACGTAATCAGCTCAAAAATGGTCTGGAGATGCCTAGAACAATTGAATGAGCTGGGCGAGAAAAATAGAGTTAGTCTCACTTGGGTCCCGGGACATAACGGGGTACAGGGTAACGAGATTGCAGATAGTCTTGCAAGGAAAGAATCTCAAACACCCTTTGTAGGACCTGAGCCGTTCTGCGGTATCAGCAGTAACTTAATATTAGGAGAAATTAAAACAGAATTGGGCAGTAGAAGAACCGACAATTGGAACAATCTCTTGGGGCTGAGACGCCAAGATACTTCTGGGAAAATATAACCAGAAAAGATCGGAAGCCTGGATCTGCCTGAGCAAGAACATTGTAACAGGGATCTTTACCGGGCATTGCCAACTAAAAGGACACCTAAGTAAACTGAGAGTAGTAGAGGATAGTGAGTGAAGATTCTGTGAGGAGGAGGACGAAACCTCCATTCACATCCTAATTAAATGTGTAGCACTCCAGAATCCAAGGGCACTATATCTAGGAGGATATCAAATTGAAGAGGGAGATTTACCTAACTTGAAGCCACTTCAAATCCTACACTTCCTTGAGAAGATAGGATTGGAAGGGTCGTTATAGGCATTGAGCCATTTCCTTAGTGCATTGGCGACAGAAGGGGGCATAATAGATCTTTTAGGTCGCATTGCAGTAACACCCCATTCATAACATAATCATTCTCAAACGTTTCCAAATCCTCAGGAAATAATACGTTTCTCGCACTTTGAAAGGCTCAAATACACATTCCCAAAACACTACAAGCTCCTTGGCGCCCACGCTGCTTCCCACTATTTAGAAAAACAAAAAGAAAACTCCCACAACCTAACATGCTCTCGGATTTTCAAGACCTCCCATTTATCGCTGAATTCCAGGATCAGCTGGACTCAGCCCCACTTTCTATTAGATAAACAAACTCAATGTTTAGCCATGTCACATGTCATCACTATCGTGGTTTCCCTAAATCCTATTTTCCACCTTATACTAGGTTGAAAATAGCAAAATTAACAATATTATTTTGGGAATACAACCTGCTACACCAAGTCCTACGCAGAAAAATAGCTAGGTTACTATTGTAATGAGAGCACATCACCCTGAAAAGTAGGATAACTCCTATAGCAGGATAACTCCTATAGCAGGATAAATGTCATAGATAATGTAAAAAAATCAATATAAAAATACAAACAACGAGAACGATTTTTACTATAGACATATCAACGTGTTTGCTTTCTCCCGTCGCGAGCTCGACGCTAATTATGAAATGTATTAAACCTGCTAAATAGTAAATTTAAATACTCGTATCTTTTTAATATGTGAAACAAGTTGAAGAAAGTTTATACTGTAAATAAAGTTGTTAACTAGAAAGCACATTCAAATTTAATTTCATCATAAACAAGAGTCTGGCAGTTTATCTACAAACATCATACTGTTCTCCACTGCCTTAGCTGATGGGAAGACAACCCTTCTTTCTACAACGACGATTGAAAAGATTCAAAATCGCAGATTATATTTGGTTTCAAAGCATTCAAAGAGTTCGATACAAAATAGTAATGAATGGAATTTCTTTAAATAATAATAGTAAGCCCTGCAATGAAAATTTCATTTAACTATCTTTTTACTTCCATTGTTAAAAGGGCATTGTAATCGAGAAAAAATCACCCTCCGAGGTTATTTCAGATCTTCACGTTTCAGAGTTCCTAGATTAGGAAAAACATGTTTCCCCATTCAGTCAGTCTGTTGGCCTGATATCTCGAAAACGGCCTTAGAGAAAAACAAAATTTTGGGCGTATTTTATAAGGGACGGGGTCGTTCAGCGGGCACTTAAATTAGAAAGCTGACTCATTCTAATTCGTTCTTATGAACACTAAGAGATCACAACTTTGTCAAAGTAGTAAAAAAACAATGAAAACTAACAAAATATAGAGCTTGTAAGAACGATTCTTGTACACCATTTGTTAACTGTCTATCAGATCTTCATTACAGCGTTGCAGGGTTATGTTGTAAAACGAATGAAAAAATTATTTAATTAAAATTATATATTTTTATTGCTTCAGCTTAAAAAAGTAAGTAAAATCAATAAAAATCAGTATTAAACCATAAGCAGGCAACATTATTTACGAGAAAATGTATGAGAAGTTGCCTAAGCCCAATAAGTTGTCATTCAAGAATAAGTTAAAGTCAAAATAAAAAAAAATCCATTAAATAATAAGAGAGCAAAACGCCAGTTCTATTACAACACCATAAAAAAGAATATTCTTGGCAGGAAATAATCTGCTATTGATTTCTTTCTCTCCTTTTTTCTTTAATGTGTCGGATAAAATAATAAAACATGCACTCAACTTCGCGACGTCATCCTCATCCTTCATTTTTGTTTTCATTTAACGAATGTTCTGGGTATACGATTGCGTACTCGCGAATTTACTGGATCAGTGGCGAACAGCGCCTCGTGCGTCTACCATTCTTGTATACAAAATAGGTCTCACGAGGCATTTGGTTCGACCTCGGCTTGCCTCATACGCATACGTGCTGAGATCTGTACCCGCCTTTACAACCTTGGTATTCACGATTGCATTATCTGCACAAGCAAGCATGTTTATGTGGACAGAGGCTATAGCCAAGAGAGGAAGTGAGGAAATAGCAAGTATTTTATTGAAGTACCTCGCATCTAGAGAAACAAATGAACAATGGGAACTTGTTGTTTTCACTGATAACTGTGGAGTCGAGAACAAAAACTGGCTAATTATGGCACTATGGCTACAACTTGTCAGGGAAAAACAATCAAAAGTATTGAACATAGGTTTTTGGTATGAGGGCATACCTATTTGCCTTGCGATAGGGATTTCGCTCAAATTGAAAAACAAAACAGGTATTTGAGACAAATTTATTGCCCATAGGACTGGTACGAAGCCGTTAGAAAAAGAAAAAGGGCCAATCCATTCGAAGTTATTGTTATGAAACAGAAAGATTTCCTATCGTTTCAAAAAGTTCCTATGGTGAAAAAAAACATAACTGAAGATAAAGAGCCTGTAAATTTCACAAAAGCACGCTGCTTCCGATTTGAATCGGGTGAACCCAATACGATGTTTATAAAACATGAACTAAATGAAAATAAAAAAGTTAATGTTGGAAAGCGTGGAAATAGGTTTGTTCTTCAGTCAGGTAATATTCTTGACAACTTAAACTGCAAATACAATGAACCTGTAAAACTGAACAGCAAGAAAGTTGAGGACTTAAAAAAACGTTTGCGTAACATACCACCTATGAATCAAAACTTTTATGTTACTATTTTCGAGCAGTGTGCTGGAGAGCACATTGACGAAATTGAAGATCAAAATATTGCGGAAGATGTGGATGGAGAAGAAGACTAGCGGAAAGCTGCTTAATATTTTTTACCTGTACTAGTATTTTTTTATTGTAACCAAAGAATTTATAAGATTGATGTTGAGCTAAGAGCTACTTATTTTCTTTTTTTAAGTTAGTGAAATCTAGAAAATGTTGTTTTATTTTGATATAAGAAAGGCACATGCCACACTTTAGCAAAAAATCCAATAAATTCGAAAAAAATAAACTTTTTTGTATTTTGTTTTATTTACGGGGAAGAACTCAACTCAAGAAGAACTCAACTTTTTTCAATAATGTTCCAGTGTGGCTTATGTCAATATTAATATAAGTTAACGGAAAAATATCTACATTTGGTTTCACATAAAATGGGTGCACAAAAAACAAAGAGGTTTTGTTTATATAACTCCTTAATTTATGCCAATTTTTGCTCCATCAATTGAGATTGGAATACAGTGAAAAAATGCACTTATGCTTTTCAATGTAGAAATTAACTTGACAACCAAAGCCATACAGATAATAAATGGTAGAAATTAATGGCCAATTATTTGCCAAAGGCACCATCTATTAATGCATCGCCAAAACTATCCTTGAGTTTTATTTATAAATATAATATGGACCTTAGAAACTTTTTTTATAGACCGCTTAATATAATAAATAATATTTGACTTGGTTATGTTTGAATGGAATTAGTAACGCATGTTTTTAAGGTAAGACAGTAAAACGGTAA